ACTGAGAGTCCAATTGGATCTACAAACCCTGGGAAAGGCTGGCATTGAATTGATCTTAAATATCCCTTCTTTGATTTTAAAGGGAGAGGAATTTGTGAATTAAAGGCTGTGCTTAATTATTTCTTTATTAAGAATTTAAGGACTGAGGGGATGCTCAGTGAGGGGCCTTGAGGGAGAAATAAGGAAAAGTATGAGAGAGGGACAGTGTCAAAGCTGGAAAGCTGAGCCTCTCCCAGGTAATGTGCAGGACCACACCCAAGGAAATGGAAGTTTGACCTTCAAGAAAAATAGATCAGCAGGTTCTTTGAGTTACTTGTACCCACCTTCTTGCCTGTTCTGAAGAGAAGTCCTTTGTCTTGCAAAAAAAAAAAAAAAAACAACCCAGAGCAAGGTGTCACTATTGCAGTGCCCAGGATGGGTAATGGAGCTGTTACAAAGCCCAGGGAACTGATCCTCTTTCTCACCGTTCAAAGAACCACTTGTCTTTCAGAAAGTATCAAACACCCTTGCTGTTTCCCAGGCTGTGTAGTTCTTTTTGATCTTCCCCATACTCTTCACCTGCCTTTTGTGCCCCAGAGGCACAGGGTGTCCCTGCAGGAGCAGGGGGTGCCCGATGCCATCCCGATCCACGGCCAGAGGAGCAGAGCACGCTCCTGGAGCGCTCCCACAGCCCCAGTTCAAAGGCAGGATGAGGGCAGGCAGCCAGGAAAACCACAGTGATCCACCACCTCCAGGGTAAGGGAGATCTGCATGGGACTTCCTACAGGCTGGTCCCACCCACTGGATCCCCTCTGTTGAAAATCTTATGGACTTCTTGGAAGTGGTTTGTTTAGGTCATGGTAACAATGGTATTGTTGAGTCTGTTAGTTCAATGCAGTCACAAAAGCAAACAGCTCCATTACATAAAGGTTGAGTTTGGCAGATGTTGAACTTTGTCCCTGCAAATAAACCAGGCTGTCCCCACTGAGGGCACTGGGACTGCAGTTCTCTTTGTAGGCCGTGTTGCTGCTAACAGGTCATTAAATTAATCTGCAGTCAAAAGTACACTTGGAGAAACCATCCAGAAGGAAATCCCTTTTGTATTTCTCCTGTTGCCATTCCGTTCCTATTTGTGATCACTTAAAAAAGGCTGAAAGACACCTGAAAAATGCAGGTTATTGTTTTATAATGTTCCTTCTAAACACACCGAGAAAGTCCTAATAATACATGTAATTCTCTTTTGCTGTTTCAGGAAGCTGAAGCACTGGCCAAGCAGCAAGCGTGAATTTCAACTGCCTTAAATGTCTGTAAAGGGAATTTCCACAGCTTTTTATAAAATAGTCCAACTGTCTCTGCTTCAAGAAATGTAGATGTGATTTCTAACATTGATTGGTGCTTGCAGCATTCACTGTACGTAACCCAAACTGAACACAAGTGGAGATGGGAACTCGAGGTGGGGAGCAGGAGTGGGTTGGGATGGGTTGGAGGCTGAGGAAGTCCAAGCAATCAGACATGAATGATTTCACTTAGTTTAAACTGTCCTGGCAATTCGTCCGTTTTGTGGAAACTTAAAGAAACTATTTTAGTACTAAAAATGCAGGTGGGTTTTACCCAGAGATCCAACTATTTAAGCAGCATCTAAAACCTCGTCAGATACTAATTCAGTGCCTGAGTTGCCTCAAAATTGTTACTGAATTACACAGTAATTTCTCAGTGTCTTTCCTGGTTTCAGATGGAGTTGTAGGTGGTACTGTGTAGTATAACCATTGTAGTTGCTTTGGAAAGTTGTGTTTGTTCTTTTGTAGAATGGATATTTAAGAGTTGCATTGTTACACGCTGTACAGATGATACAAACCCAACAAAGCCGTGCATTTCTCATTGAAGTGATCCGTGTGGGCTCCTTTACCAAAAAGGGATGTGGGCCGTGGGCACGAGTCCCTCACTGCTGCCTAAGCACGAGCCATGACACGTCTGGGGGCAAGACTCAATGTTGCAAACAAGCCAAAACGGCCAGAAATGGCATTTCCTTACCTGTGTAAGGGTGAGAGCCTTTAATGTATTTCTCTACAAAAATACCAGTTCACACTGCTTAGAGCATTAAACATCTCACTGCATGTTCAAGTAGCCATTAGGTTCATATAGTATTTTTTCAAACGAGGAAATAAATGTTTGAATAGGAAAAACTATTATAATTAGGCAAGTCTTTTTTTTTTTTTTTTTTTTTTAAGGTTTAAAAACTTCTTTTCTCCACTGTTATGGCCATATCACAAAGCTATTACAGGAGTTGCAGATCTGTCAAAGTGTCTTGTACTGGTGAATTTACCACGTGCAATATTAACCTGTGCGTTCTCCCAGTGGCTCAGGAGGGAGCCTGTGATTCCTGGCCATATTTTAATTCCTGATTTATCTTTTTTGGGAGCCTGGGAGGCAGTTTGAAGCTTCTGCTTACAAAAGCACCACAGTATCACAAGGCAGAGGGATGGAGGGATTTTGCCTTACCCTAAAGAAAACACACATAACCGTGCTTTTTTATTAACAGGCTTTCTCAGGAAATTACTGAAATCCTGTGAAATTTAAGATCTCTTGGAAATAAAAGTTTGGTTACATTTTAAATCCAGCATCAGATTTTTCTTGTTTACTATGATTTCATCTTTCTGAACGAGGTGATTTTTCTTTCTTAATATTGGCTTAAACTTTCTCTGCCACTAAACTCCTGCTCAGATTTTTGGGAACTGTGGAATACTAAGTAAGTGGGATTTGCCACACGAGTCCCTGTACCCACACCAGCTTGCTGTGTTTTCCTGTGCAAGTTTGGTGAATTGCAGCCATTATTTTGGAGAAGCTGTAATTAAAACTCGCTGCCAAATTCTGTCAGTTCAGCGATCCAAAACGTTCAGAAAGGAGGTCAATCTCTGTCTCAATGGTCAAGAAAATTGCCAAGTTTAAGAAAGCAAAGTCACTCCCCTCGTCTGTCCCCCCTCCCTGCCATATGGGAGCGTTCAAACTGTATCAGCATTCCTAAGCCAGCTCTGGGAGCCAGGCTGAATTATTCCTTTGTCTGGGGAACAAGGCACCAACACAAACTGAAAATACCGAAAATCTCTATGTGGTGTGTGTAAAACTTGAGTTTTTTGATGCAGATCTCTTGCATGACTTTAGGAGTGCCAGGAATCTGTTACCTCTGTGCTGTAGTTCTGTTTCCATGGGTGCAAGAACTGAATTTGTTCCTTTCTTTCTTATTTTTTTCCTCTGTAGAGGGCAGGCATTGAGGATTTAAGCTGTATATTAACCATTCCTGTATCATTCCAATAAAATTGTTTTAGAAAGCTTTCTCACACCATCGGCTTGTTTGCATGTTTTGTTCACGGTTGGAAGTTTTAGGTTGGAAGGAGTTTTCAGATGAAAACCGTACCTTTTAAAAGCTCAGGATTCGTACAAGGTGAACATCATTAATCCACTGCTGCTGTGGGTGAATCTGCTGGCTTGGATCTCACACCTGTTGCAACTAATGGGGTTTAATGACTAAATGGGATTTAATTTCAGATACACCTCCCCAAAACTGTCTGTAAGCTTTGAGGTTTTTCCATTATTAACTTATTTCCCAAGGCAGGCACAAGTTGGAAGCAGCCAAGGCAGCAGCTGCATCCCAAGCCCAGAGAGCTCTCCCAACCCTCTCCCTGCTCTTTTACAAATTGTAATTAATTAGCTTTATGCTGCCCACAGCAGGGAACTGTGGTATTTAATATTTGTGTTGCCACAGAGCGGTGCAGGAAGAATTTAAAACTCTTTATTTTTACCTTCCCTGCTTGGCTGGTACATCAGCAGGTACCTCCTCGGCTGGACGTGCCCAAGTTTTGCACCACCTGGAAGATCTGCAGAGCTACAGGAATCCCATTCTCAGCTCTAAACTGCCCCGGGATTTGCCCAAATCCCAGACTTCAATTCTCATCCTCTGGAGGAAACCAATAATCTGATTTTTTTAAGGAGTTTTGTGATTTTTACAGGATCAGCTTCTTTCTGTGTGAACAACAGCCCAGCCAGGAGCTCTCAGTCACACTGAGGTGCCTTTTCAAGGTGATTATTGCTTGTCTCTCACACTTGTCCTTCTTTAGTGTCTTAAAAATGGTCCATAAGATGGAAAAAGGGCTTTGGATGCCATTTCGAAAATGCAATGAATCCCATTTCCTTCCCCTGTGTATCCACTTGTACAACTCAGAGTAAAAATCACTGGTTTTCTTCTTTGTTTATAAGAAGTCTTAAAACCCTAATTGTTGCTCATTAATTTAAAGCTTATTACAAATAGTTTTCCAAAATCTGTTTGGAAACCCAGCTCCGTGTGTGCATACAGTGTGGCCTTCACTTGCTGTTCGGGTTCCAACAGTGTGTGCTGTAATAATAAACTTTTCTACCAATTCCTGTGGGATTTTATTCATTTCTCATTTCACATTCTCAGTCTCCATGCCATGGAAAGTTCTGGGATACCCCATTATATCCCTCAGCTCGTGTTGCACCTATTTCATGGAAGGGTTTGGGTTCCACCTGCTCTGTACCTACACATAATAATCCACTCCACAAATAAATCATATATTTTATTGGGTTTTTCCTGCAGAAATACTCTGTGATTTATCCATATTACGTGATCTTGCTAGAATGTTTCAGATTGAAAAGTTCACTAGGAAAATTTTGGAGTTTATCATTAAAAATTTGGACTGAATGGGTAAACTTTTGGAAATGCAGAAGGATTCTGAAGGTCAAAGTGATGAAGTGTAAATTGCTGTTACTACACGAGGTGAGCACAGTGTTGCTGTGAGTACTGAGTATCCAAAATCCAGGTATTTAGTACAAAAAACATTTATTTTGGGTGTTGTATTCATGACGTATCAAAATTGGTCATGTATATACTGTACTAGTAATATATAGTAATTCCTTATATATGTTAATTATATACAATATACAAACCATATAGCAATATATAGTGATTCCCTATATATGTTAACTATATAAAATATACATACACGATATAGCAGTATGTAATATTTCTTTATAGTAATTCTTTCTCTCACAAACTGGCTTATTGAAGATATCATCAGGAACCTGGCGATTTCCTCATTTTAAGTCGCTTGGTGTTTCAAAACCCCTAAATAAAAGGAAACGGGCACATTATTAATGCAACGTGAGCACCACTAGAACTCCCAGCTCCTTTCAGAGCCCTTTCCCCAGCAGGCAGGGCAGGTTATTTTGTGTTTATACAACCCGAGGTTATCAGACACACGTGTTATACCCGGGATCATCCATGGAATCCCTGAGTTCATCCATGGGATCCCTGAGCTCCAGGTCCGGCCCGGCCGCGCCGGGAAAGGCCTCAATGGCGCCCGCGGCCCGTCAGCGGCGCCGCGCGCCGTTGCTGCGGCAACCGGTAGCCACTCAGCGGCCGGGGCGGGCCTTCCCCGCCTTCCCATTGGGCGAGACCGCTGTCCGTCAGCGCGAGTCCCCGCCCCCTCGCTTATTTAACCCTCGGGGGCTGCGGCAGCTGAGAGCCCTGATGGCGGGCGGGTGGTGCTGTGTGAGGGGATAGAGGCTCCGGTCCTTCCCGAGCTCTCCATCGCACCGCCCCGTGCCTGTTGCCTCCCCGTGCCTTCCCTCTGCTCGCTGCTGTGTGGGGAAAACGGGCGTTTTTCTCTGTTAATGAAGCCTTTTCCTGTGTCAGCAGCGCGGCGCTGCGCTCGCCAGGGGGTGGGCAGGGGCGGCTCTGCCGCGGGGTTTGAGGGCTCGGCTGGGCCGCTCAGGGATGTGCTGGCAGCTTAAATCCAAACTAAAGGGCTTGCGGCAGCTGTGCTTGGGAAAAACAAACAAACAACAAAACAATTAAAAATTTGTCTGTTTCACGTTTTATGCGTGTAAATACACAGGCTGAACTGAATAAGAGGACTTTGCTTACGTGCAGCCATAGTTGTGTAATACAAGTGTGTGGGGTAACAGACCATGCTGTAGTATTTATCTTGTGCACATATATATATATATATATATATATATATATATATATATATATATATGCCTTTTTCATACATTCCATAGGTGTCGAATGCTATAGCAATTTTTTTATCTCTGTATTCAGACATCCTTGCTTTGCAGTTTCTCCCGACTGTGCTCAGCTTCTGAAATAACTTACTTATGATTTTATTTTCTGGCAGTAAAAGGGCATTTCTTTTTGATGGAATTGATAGAAATGCATTGATTTCCTTGGGTATTGGTGCATTTAACACCTGAATCCCAGAATAGTTTGAACTGGAAGGAATCCCATGGCAGGGACACCTTCACTAGACCAGGTTGCTGACTGCAACTGAAATGGGAGGTGATTTAGTTTTAATCACAAAAGATGAATTATCTGACTTGATTTCTTTGTTTCTGTTACTTTTGCGTTTTGTTGAAACAGCTGCACAAAAATTCCAGCTGTAGCTGGCACTCATTACAAGCTCAGCGAGGTTTTAAACTACTTGGAATTTGAACCACCCTGATTCCTGCCCCCCAAGAGTCTGAGCAGTGGCTCTCTCCCAGCCATGCCTTCTGTGCAGAAATTAGTAATGTAAAATGATTAAATATGAAGTAATTTTAAACAGCCTTTAAGTGGAAAATGGCTGTTATGTAAATTCGGTGGGAATAAAAATAGCTGTAATTCTGCCTCTACAGAAAGTGGGGTCTTTTTTGAAATATGGGTGAGAAGGAAGGAAGAAGAGTAATTTTGGAGACTCCCTTGGACCTGAATGGCCAGAGTTACTTCAGACCTTAAATTTATTAATTTCTAAGGCACAACATGGCTTTCTGCTGCCAGGGACAGGGTTAGATGGAATACTGGGAAGGAATTCTTGACTGGGAGGGTGGTGATGCCTGGCACAGGTTGCCCAGAGAAGCTGTGGCTGCCCCATGATCCCTGGAAGTGTCCAAGGCCAGGTTGGACGGGGCTTGGAGCAACCCGGGCTAGTGGAAGGTGTCCCTGCCCATGGCAGGGGGTGGGACTGGATGAGCTTTAAGGTCCTTCCAACCCAAACCATTCTGTATGAACATCATTTCTCTACCAAAACATGTTGAGTGATGGGTTGCAATCAGTGTGCTGCTGTGAGGTTATCTTTACACTCCAGTTTTATTTTATATTTTTGTCTTGTCCTGGCCATTAAACAATGTCTTTTTAAGGTCTTTTGTCTGTTACTTGGGTGAGATTCAGCTTCTGATTTATTGGTTTTCTTTTTTGTCTTCTGAGAAAAAGGAAATTTAGAAGAGGCATCAACACAAAACTGTGCAGTCTGTGTAGGGACCGGATCTTGTGCTGAGCAGTGGGATGGCTCAGGGATTGAGCTTGGCTTCAGCTTGAAAAAGACACCCTAAAACCACCCTGGAGGAACCTCAGACGTGCCATTGAGCCAGAGGCAGCTTTTGAGCCCAGAAAAAGTGGGTTTGTTCAAAGAGCAACATGATTGTGCACAGCTGTCCCATGGCTGTTGCTTTCACAGATTCTCATATTTGTGTGCTATAAACACGGGGTATTTCATCAAAATCTTGATGACATGAAGTTGTCAGCTTCTTTCCCATCAGCAGAACATCACAGGAGTCTAAATTTAGCCGTGTCTCCAAAGGGGAAGTGGTGTGAATAGCACAGTAAGTCAGCTGGGTGGGGGAGCAACTCTCAGCTCCTCTCAATGGATGTGTTTGGTGAAATTTGGTTCCCATTTCAACCAGCACAGGCCCCTCAGATCCCTCCCTGTGCCCTATTATGGCAGTCCCAGCTCGCTGGCATCGCGCTGCGGTTGGAAATATCTCAGCCCAGTTTCCAACATCCTCCTTGGGGCTGGTCCTGCCTTTGCATTCAAACCCCGCGCCCTTTCCCGCTGGGATCGCTTCTGTTTTTATTACGAGGAACAAAGAATGGGGAAGCACATCATGTGTGTGTGTCAGGCTCTTTGCTCACAGCCAGCAGGGGAGGAGGAGGATGTGACAGTCTGTCCTGTCCCAGCAGCTGGAGTGGGACAGCTCTGGGCTCGGGGAAATCACCTCGGACCCCACCGGCCTTGGTAAGTTGGGCTTTCTCTGCCTTGTTTTTTCCCTTATGCTTCGTCCCAGAACGCAGGAGCCACTTATTTAATTTGAAACAGAGCAGTTTTGTTAAGATTACCCTATTTAGCTCTGCATGAACGTTCTCAAAGCAATAAACCAAAATTTATTAGCAGGGAAGGAGCTCGGTACCTTGAGCTCTTACAGACCAGGGTAAGGACCTGGTTACACATCCTACAAGGAATGCAGCATTCCAAATTCAGCAAGATTAAAATTGCCAGATATTCTGCTCTCTTTGGAAAATGGTTTCCTAAGTGCCTGAAGTGCTTAAGAATATTTTGTCCAGCTTTTTGCACATGTAAATGATTCTGTAGATAACGAGCTATGCTGATGTAGCCAAGTGTGCTGCCTTTGCTGGTCTGCTTTGGCCTCAAAATTCCAGGGTTCCCTTCAGCTCCAAGGAGGGCCTTTAGCCAGTCAAGCTAAAACAACCCCCCAAAAGACAAAAACACCATTTCAAACCATGAGCACGCTATGAGAGTGTGAATGCACTTGAATTAGGCAGTGATTCAAAAGATATATTGAGGGACAGAATGATTTTCTTTCCCATCCCTCCATAAGGGGAGTGGTGATGATCTCCCTGGTGAGTTCAGGTCTGACTTTAAAGGTGAAGGTTCCCATTGATTTTAACAGTAGGTGAATTGAAAAGGAATGATAAGGAATCATTAAATGTAGGTTATTTTGAGACACTTTTCACTCCTTATCACTTCACTAGTGGGGAAGACAAATTAACTATGTCTTTTAAATTCATCACTAAGAGGGACTCTAAACACCTCTGACCACGTGAGCTGCATTTTGGGTGCAGTTTTATTATACTTGCAGACCTCCCAGCATCTTTTGAAGCTCCTTGGTACTTCACAGGAGGGCTCAATTCAAAAACAACCTCCAAATTTGAATTTGCTCTTTATTTCCTTCCTGTGTCACTTCTTTAGCTCTTAGAAATCTTTATCTTTCAATGGAAAACATTGATTTGCAACTGCTGATGGTGACACAGACAAGTGAAATTAATCTACTGATTTTTACAGACCTGGGAACAGAATGGATATTACAGATGAAAAGCTGTTTTATACCCTCCCTTTATCTTCAAAATGATTTTTGTGGGCCTGGTAAAGAAGTTTAAAAGAGGGAAAGCTTGTCATTTGATGTTTGCTAAAAATAAATACTCTCAAGAAAAAATTATTGTTATTATTGTTGTTGTTGTTATTATTATTATTATTATAATATCTGCCTGTCTTTCAGTCCCAGGGCTCCATGGAACTCTGGTGATCAGGCTGTTACTCCCACTTGTCCTCATGTTGGCAGAAGGCACCTTAATGAGGCTCATCTATAAAGAAAGCTGTCATCAAGATCAGCCTCAGAAATCCCCTGCATCCCAAAAGGCTAAAGAGGGAATCTGGAGACAGAAACTTGTAGACATCCCAAAAATCAACGGCTTTGCTCATGGATGTGAGAAGCGGGATGAGGTCTCTGCTCGAAGCAGCAAAACAGAGCCCGGGAGTGGCCCCGGCTGGGGATGCAGAGAAAAGGAACCCACAGAAGATCAGGAAATGCAGCTCAAAGGACCTGTATCCCCAGCTTTACACATCCCCAGGAGAGGCCACAGCCTGGGCCAGCTGGATCTGTACAGATCCTGGCCATGCAACAGCATTTACCAGAACTATCCCGACCTGCAGATCGGCGGGGACCGTGTGGGGGAGCACACGTGTGACTCGGGCTGCGTCTTGGACCACGTGTGTGATAAACTCCCTGATGGCCCTGTCCTGCTGTCCGTAGATATTCCCCTGGGCCAGTCCCCTCCCTGTGAGCACCCCGAAAAGCCCAGTGTGACATCCCTGTCTGGGGAGGAAGCTGGAGATGAAGCTGCAGAGAGGAGCATCGTGCTCTCTGAGGAGCCTCTTTCCAGCTCCACGCTCAACAAGTACGTGGAAGCCAAGGTGGCAGAGCTCTACAAGCAGTTTTTTGAAGAAAGCCTGGCCAGGTGTGGCTCTGTAACCAACCTCCTGACTTGCAGCTGGCTGAGGAACAGCCTGGAGCAGATAAGCTTCCAGATCTCCCAGGAGCAGAACATAGAAACCTCCAAGGCCAGGGGAGCCCTCTTGCACTCGCTGGCTTTGTTGAGCTGGCGAAACGCTCCCAACGGGAACAGCTCAGAGTTCAGCACCCCAAACCTGCAAATCTCCAACCCAGTGGGGGTGAAACGGGGCTGCAGGGTGCAGTTCACATCCTGACTGAGCTGGGCTGAAGGGCTGGGTGGGATTAGGGTATTAATATTTCACTCCAGGGATGAGCTTGGGAAGTGGGAACATTTACACACTACACTTTTTCAAGTTGGTGGTTTAAGGCTTAAAGCGTAGGGGAAGTAAAAGTCACTGGTTTCTGGTTTTTAATACAGAATTTGAAATTATTTCTCTCTAAAATTAATCATGTTTTTATAGTATCTGTAGAGTCATAGATTCATTAAAGTTGGAAACAACCACTGAGATCAAGTCCCTCAACCCAGCACCACCACAGTCACCATGTCCTCAAGTGCTACATCAACATATAAAAGTGTTTAATTTTTGGCAAAATAAGCAAGCAAAAATGACTGCAACATTCCTGAAAAAGTAGTGCAAGATTCCTGCATCTCTGGAAATCTAAATACAAGTTTTGATATAGAAATCTTGTTACTTTCAAACTCATTTTCTTCCCTTTCTCTGACTTCTCAGTAAATACAGAAATGAATCACTGTGTCCCATTGTAAAATGAGTTTTTTTCTAGTAAAGAAAGTTTTTATTGTGGTTTTCTTTTTTCTTTATCCCTGTGGTTTTGTTTGTTTGTTTTAATCCAGCATCTTTATTTGTTGGGCATTTCTTAAAGTCATCTCTGAGCTGAAAGAAAATACCAATAGGCTTGAAAGAACATTGAGAAGATCTGAATTCACAAGAGATTCACTCTGAAGCTCCTAATTCAAATAATTTAACTTATTAAATAGTGGCATTTACTGTAATAGAAGCTGTGTAATGGGGCTTAGAGTTAAAACTGGGCCTGTTTTGGCCTATGCAGAGATGGGAATTTGCAGAATAAAGGAATAAAGGAATATGGACCCTTAATAATTAATTTCCCTCAGCTGCCTTCTCAAATGTGATTCTTGCTCTTTGTCTCATCTTGAACACCCAAGTTTCAATATTTCATGTTATTTTTCAAACAGCCTTCACCCTGAGGCAGACTTTGCCGTGATATCGTTGTGGTAGGATGGGGATTTTCAGATGGAGGACAGAAAAGAGGGATGGCTGGAGTTTGGGTGGCAGGATTGAGCAGAAGCTGCTCCTGAGGGAAAAGGGATCTGGGAGGCCAAAGTAAGAACTTCTCTCTCGTCAGTAAAATGACAGGCAAAGACAATTCCCACTGAACAAATAATTCCATAAAATCAGACTTGTACACATCCAAAACCTAACTGATCATTGCCTGCTCAACAATTCCTATTTGATGCTAAATCCAATACTAAATCTAGTCCTTGTTTTCCAAGAGGATGACAGGGAAAAGGATGACCTGCCCTAATTCCACACATGCCTCATGAATGCCCTTCTCAGTATTCCAAATCAAGTCAGCAGTCCTTAGGAATGACTTCATTAAACTCCAGAGGAGTCCAGGGTTGGCAGAACTCCTCAGTTTTCCTTGGGAGAGCAAATAAATTAACTGAGGGTGAGGGGGGAAAACATTCCCAAGGGCATCAGCAACCCAAGGGTTCGCAGGAGAAAAAAGTGCTCCCTGGCATTTGAGCTGCCCTTGGTTCCCCCTGGGATCTATTTATAGTTCCAACCAAAGTCTGGAAAGAAGTTAATTGCACAAGGTTCTTCCTCAGGAAATGAGAAAGTCAGAGGTTAAACCTGAGGCCCATTCAGACTGTGGTGGTTTTGTGTCCTTCCCAGTGCTGAGAAATGCGTTGGAGAAGCCCCACTTTGCTCTGCTGGTTCCCTCAGAGCCAGCCCTTGGTATTAAAATCAACAGATCATCAGCAGCTATTTCAGTGGGAGAATCCCTGATGGATCTGCTGCTCCATCGCCGTGGCAGGAACGGGGCAGCAGAGAAGAACATGGACATCAAAACTGAGTGTCTGGCACAAGCTGAGGTTACTGGGAAGCTCCATCCATCCCATCCCTTCTCAGGGCCGGGTTCAGAGCCCATTTTTAAATTAGTTTTGTCAAAGGTGTGGGCAATTCTATCTGGAATGGAAAGAAAACAACATCACAGCAGAGTTTTGAGGGAAATTAAGTAATTTATGTGGCTTTTTAGCACAATGACCCCTGTTTTCACAGCACAGGGAAGGTGTAGATAAATGCACTTTATTAATGTAAAGCACTCCAGACTGTGTTTTTGTATTGATTTTATGTAGCTTTGCCCATGGAAAAATGTCGTCCACGTGCTCTTTCCACCCAGTGTTTGTGACTCTGGTTTGATCCAAAATTTAACTTCTCAAAAATTAACTTCTCCTCATAGAAAGAAAGATGGCTGAGATGTCACTGCAGAGTACATTTTAGGAGCCAAATCTGGTAATTTCAGGAAAGATGAGACAAATCCATTTGTTACACACTTAAATACCATTTTTATTTAAATTTTATTTTAAGTGACATGTTAATTCCAGGCCATGGGAATTAAGCCCCTTTAGAAGGTGACTTCATCTGCCTGGAGGATAATTGGGATTTTTGCACTCCAGATCAACATTAACAATTTTTCCGAGATTTATTCAATAGTCAAATGGTGATATCTAGTGGTGGTTTCCTTTAGTACCTTTCAGGTCAGGATTTCCAGAGCTTTACAACCATTTTGCAACTTAATCTCAAAATCCACATTTTTTTTTTGAAGGAAGGATTCATTCCCACAGAAAGGATGCCCAGGCTTTCAGAACAACAGTTTCCATCAGTTGGTGTTCTTTTATTCTGCAGGTTAAAATCTAGAAGGACTCAAAATCTGGAAGGCCAAACCCTTCCCTTTGGGACTATAAAAGATGGAATATCAGATAACCAGAAAGATCTCAAACACTAAATACCTGTATTCTTCATTAATTTCTCTTTTAAAGGGGAAAATGACATTTGCTTGTCAACTTGGCATGAAACTAAACCTGAGTGGCTCATTTTGTCACCCAAAATTTCAAATATTGAGCTGCTTTTAGTGGGCTGAAATCTACTTTTTAGCAGCGTTCCTTCTCTCTCTCCACAAGTTTATACATGACATTGCAACACTGATTTTTTTCCTCTCTGTTTTGCTTCTGCTTTACAGAAAGGTTTCCAAAAATCAGCTATTTGATTGTAATTAACCCAATTTTCTTCCTCTTTAGGAGAAGATCCTCACAATGTAATCCCTGCCTGCTTTTCCTTTGTGTTAATTTGTGGCAACTCCATCGATCTGCTGGGAACATAAACCACTTGTGAGGGGCAGTGGTTGCTTGGTAAATGAGTGCCCAGGTGGTAACAAACCCTCCCACTCCCACGGGTGACATCCTGGCTGCCTCCTATAAATCCCAAGAGGCCAAAACCCTCCTTTCCTCTATCCTGTTCCATGTGGGGGTTGTGGATGTTCCCTTTCACTTGGGGGAAGGCAAAAAGTCTGGAGGAATGTTTGATGCTGTGGAGCAAACTGGGAGGGGATTTGTCTCTGGAGCTGAATTACTGGCACTTCCACAAAATGTGTTGGGAATCCTGTGTAAGTATGTCCACCACAGCTTTATTTTCCTTGGGTGCTTGTTTGGGGCTCTCTTTAGGGAAAGCGTTTGTAGCTATTGTTACAACATTTAAATTATAATTTCTTGGAAACAATCTGGCATCTCCCCACTCTTCCTGGGGCTTTATTTTTTGCTGACATTTGATAAGGTGAGTGAAGGGCCAAGAAGTTTCCCCTGGTGAAGGGCGACTTGCAGGGGGCCTGAGGAGCTGGGACTTTAAAACCAGCCCCAGAAGGCTGAGACTTGCAGGGGGTTCCTGTGTCTCACCGCTGCTGTTCCTCCCTCAGGGCAAGTGCAAACAGCATCAGCATCTTTCCTAAACACAGCCCCAGCTGGGTGAAGTTGAAATGTGGGCTCTGAGCTCTGTGGAGCTCTCAGAGGGAATATGAACTGTGGCATGGACACAGGCTGGGAGAGCTGGGAGTGTTCACCTGGAGAAGGGAAGGCTCCAGGGAGACCTGAGAGCCCTTTCCAGTGCCTAAAGGGGCTCCAGGAGAGCTGGAAAGGGACACTGGGACAGGACAAGGGGGAATGGCTTCCCACTGCCAGAGGGCAGGCTTAGGTGGGATACAGGGAAGGAATTCTTGGCTGTGAGGGTGGTGAGACCCTGGCACAGATTGCCCAGAGAAGCTGTGGCTGCCCCATCCCTGGGCAGTGTTTCCCTGCCTCTCACCCCTGTGTTGGGGCACCAAGACTTCACTTCCCTGGGCTCTGACTGACTATTTAGGGATCCTTGACCTTCCTCAAAAAAATTCTAATTTTGTGCAATAATTCAGTTTCTTAATCTACTGTGCTGCTATTTTTTGTTCTCATTCCCATCTGTGATCACACACTTCTGCTTTCCAGTGCCAAATTTGTGAGGCACACGGACCGTTTATTCACTTGCTCTGTCTGTTGCTCAACTGTGTAAAGTTGATGTTTCAATAATTAATTACTAATTTGAGAGGTAACAAAAGTTAACAAAGAAGAGTGAGAGAAAATCCAGACTCTTAATTTCTTGCTTTGTGTACATAAACTGTGTTAGTGCTTTGTTTCAAATAAATGAATTTGAGAATGTAGTGGAACAGAGAACAGCGCTGCGAAGTAATTTCCTGAAAATTGCGGCTTGAGGGTTCGAAATTAACAAATTTTGTTCCTCTTTCCTCTGAGTTGAATCATAAAAAAAAATCCCAAAACTTTCTTGGAATAGAAAGTGACAACGTTCCTGTTTCATGTGCAACGCTGGTGCAAATTAGGCTGTCAAATATTCCGTGTGAATACTTGTGCTGGTGACGCTCGGAATGGAAACGGGCACAGCTCCCTTTCCTTTGCTGCCCAGGCACTGCTCCAGCCCAGCCATTAAACATCAGGGACAGGTCACTGATCACAGGCAAAGCCATGGCACTGAAAGGGCTTTGGGACAGATTTATTGAATATTTTTATATAACAAATACACCCCAGGAAACGACCACCCGCTTGTGTTTATCCCACAAGGAGAAACCAAAGGCTGCATCCTTCAAGCAGGACTTGAGGGAAAGCACAGCCAGCCAGTGGTGTGTGTGGGACCAGAGTGGGTGTCCAGAGAGCAGCTCATCAGTGGAGACTGATCTCCACACTGAGCTGAAATCCATGGGTAAATATCCATGATATCACTACAAGGATCACCCCTGAGGTGATTGTTTTGATTTGTTCTTAATAATGTTGCATTTGCTCAGTGTAATTTTGTTTGAATTCTCACTAAACCCGGATTTTTGAGTGAAGTCACTGATGTTACATTAAACCCCCATCCTGCCTGGGCTCTGGGGGGGTCACCCCCCTTGCTGCAGCACGAAGATACTTCTCAGTGTTCTCATGGCCTGTGAGCTGCTGAGAAAACCCCCTGTTACAGCTTTGGGTTTTCAGGGTTTTTCTGTTCCTGCTGCCCAGAACAGCTGTGGTTGTGATCCTGCCCAGAGGGGGATGTGGGATGGGGGGCTTGGAGGCTTTTAGGGTAATCTG